AAACTCCTGCAAAAATGGATGATCTATGGTGTAATATCATCAGTTTCTTCAATTCTTTCTTGAACATCAGTTAAAGTTGGTAATACCTCATTTACATAGTGTTCACCATCAATATTACCATTAATGAAAACCAATTGTGTTAAACCTTTACTTGTCATACCGCCATAAACGTGTAAACCTTTTGAATGTTTTTTCACTTCCCATAAATCTAATTCTTCACTATCATATACCCATCGTCCATGATGTTTTGGATTACGACCACCACCCAACAAAAAAAACTTTTGAATCAGTAATTAAAAGCTTGTCCCACCACAACAAATCTTGATCTTTATATGTTTTTCAAAAGTTTAATCTTGCCTTTTTATGATAATCAGTTAATTTGTTGCTCTTAGTCTTACTTTCCATTTTAATTCAGCATCATGTAATATGTGTTGCACTGTTTTATAACTTATATTCAATTGCAGACCTGCTTTTCTTAAACTAAACTTTTTGTTGTGTCTTTTTCGCAATACCGCCTTTTCAATTTTTCTTGAAACTTCAGGCCTACCTGTTCGAATACCATCAAGAAATGCTTTGGGATCATCAAAGCCAACATTTTTCCATTTTGTAATAAGAGTATCTGTGCATTTCAATCGTTTTTTAATTTGTTTTCGTTGAATTCCATCTTGTTCCATTTGATTAATGCGCACACGAATGATCAAATTTTTCAGTTGTTTATGTGTAAGACTTATTTTCTCATCTTTAGCTGGTGGTGAAGAGCCATTTTGGTTGAAACGTAATCTTTCTCTCCTTGCTTTACCCATCTTTTAAGTTTCGTCTGCACAGAATATAGAGAAATAAATCATTTTCATGTAACTTCTTCAGCCTATTGACTTTGTGACCGTTCATTATCTATCTCTCTTACGGAAATGTATATTGTTTATGTGAACCAGACGACCTATTGTGTGAAGAAGTTATATAAAGCGAGCATAACTAGGGATGTGTAGTATCAGTATACTGACCACCGATAAAATCACACTGGCGTTCACTGGTGCGGTGACGACACTGACACTGAGCGCACAGTCTGCAGTGACGCACTGTCACTGAGTGAACTGTCTGCGGTGAAGCACTGTCACTGAGCGAACTGTCTGCAGTGACGCACTGTCACTGAGTGAACTGTCAGCGGTGACGAACTGACACTGAGCGAACTGTCTGCAGTGACACACTGACACTAAGCGCACTGAGTACCGTGCCTGCACCGACATTTGTGTTCACTGGATCAGTGTGGGTGTGTGAGTGTGGGTGGATGTGGGTGTGGGTGTGGGTGTGGGTGTGGGTGTGGGTGGGTGTGGATAGGGTGTGAGTGTGAGTTACGTACTTCTTCGAAAAGTTAGTGACATCCACACCCACACCCACACCCTCTAGTGGAAGCAGTGCACTCAGTGTCAGTGTGTCACTGCAGACAGTGCGATCAGTGTCAGTGTGTCACTGCAGACAGTTCGCTCAGTGACAGAGCGTCACTACAAACAGTTCGTTCAGTGTCAGTGCGTCACTGCAGACAGTTCGCTCAGTGTCAGTTCGTCACTGCGGACAGTGCGCTCAGTGTCAGTGTTTCACTGTCAGTAATTCACTGTTTTCATCGAAACTGCACATCCCTAAGCATAACTGTCACTATTGCACGGATATTTTTCTCATGAACTTCGTCACAGAAAAAAAAGATGTTCTGTTTTCATTTGTAGTTTTGTAATTTTATATGTATAAAAAAAATCATCTCCAAAAAACATGAATGATATTCTCGCATCTATATCCATCTTACCACTTGGATTAGAACCGTTATTTTTTCACCAAAAGTACACTTTTACATGCTCTTTAAAATGACTATTTATTGATCGAAATTGCTCAAACAGTTGCAAAAATACATCGATAGAAAAAATAAAGCGAACTTTTTTCACATACCTTACATTCGGCATTGTTTTTGCTGATGTGTTAATGTGTTGTTTTTCACTCTAATCATACTATTGTATATGAGATTTTTGTTGGTGTTTAAATTTGTTATATTTTTAATTTTCATTTCTTTCGGAATGATTTTATGTGTCTTGCAGGTTTTAAGGAATTCGATATGTTCAATTAATTTTGTTCGTTTTTGTATTAGTTTTTCAAGATTATGTGCGATAGCATAAGTTCTCTCTTCGTAGAGGTTGATATATTGTTTTCTTGCTAGGAAGGTCATTAAAGTCTATAAATAGTAACAGGTTTCTCTTTCTTGTTTTAATTTTATTATATAGTAACGGTTCGACGTTGAGGAACGTCTTCTTCAGACAAAAGTTAAAGTAAAAATATTATGTTTATCTAGTTTTTCCATATGTAAATGATATGATCTTTGTCATACCGACGAAGGAGCGAAAAAGAGAACACGAGAAGCAAAGAAAAAGATAGTGGCGATCCACTATCTTTTTCTTTTCTTTTCGTATTCTCTTTTTGGTTTCTTCGTCGATATGACAAAGATCATATCATGTACATATGAAAAAACTAGATAAACATAATATTTTTACTTTAACTATTGTCTGAAGAAGACGTTCCTCAACGTCGAAGCATTACTATATAATAAATTTAAAACAAGGAAGAGAAACCTGTTACTATTTATAGACTTTAATGACCTTCCTAACAAGAAAACAATACTAGATAAATTGCCAAAATTCATTTACTTCTTTCGGCATCTCTTTCAGTTTTTTTTTATTATTGTTAGACTTTATAATCAATAATATATATTATATTTGTGATCAAAATTAAAATTAGTCTCTAATAAGTTTAAAATCTCAACAGTTGTACACGGTTGGAAATTACATTATTCCAGGGGGTACCTCTATAATTTCAAATAGAGTAAATAATAAAAATTTTACCAAATGAAAGCTTGTGAAAAACGGGATTTATTGATACTAAATAGTAAGGGTTATGAAGGCTTAAGTATGTTAAACTCTCGAAATTTATAGCATTTCACCGACATGAAGCATGAGAAATTTATTCCTGAGGTACAATTCGGACTAAATATGTTACAAAGTACTTTGTTTTTTCATCGTTTAATGAATACAATCAATAATCAGTATAATAACCATTAGCATTCTTTACTGCACGAAGGCGTGATGGATACGAACATAAAAGAGTTTTGAACAACTCACTATCTGTTTCCATGCTGGTCAACACATTGGAAATGTGCATTTTGAGTATTTCTTCAAGATACCGATTATGTCCAGTTTCTGATAACATTGTTTTTTCAACTTCATATTTAATTATTGATCCAATACGTTCTGCCACATTGAGATCAGATGAACTTCCGGGTCAGATATCATTACCCCAAAATTTAAGGTTGTTGTCTTGAAGGAAATGTTGGGTCTTATTTGCTCTCATACATGGCGCTTTATCATGGGCAAATATAACTTCATCAGGATCAATCATATTTTTTTCATTATTTAATAAAGGCAATACATTTTAAGCTAGAATTATGTCACGAAAGTATTAATTAGTTCAAGAGTCACCTTTATCTTTAATCACACAAAGTAACGTTTTGCAAGTAAACATAATAAAAAGCCCTATGCATATTTGATTTTTAACCATTTCACGGTATCTTTCATGTTCTTCAATATCTTCGATACTTCTTGCGCAAATTCTATCATTTTGATAATATGATCTATGGGCGGTGCAGACATAAAATTCATCAGATGGTGCAAGATGCAGAAAATCCTCTTCAGTCCAATTTTTTAACCAACCACTCAACCATAAACGATCTGATATATGAGTTTCAGATTTTAATGATTTTGGAATAACACGCAATGGTTTTAATCCTTCTCTATGACGGTAATTATTGATTGTTCTTCGAACGGCGGTTTCTTTTTGTTTTTCTGCAATCTCCTTCACCACAACAGAACAACTTTTTCCTTGTCGACCACTTGCTTTACGAATGATGTCGTGACTAGCTTTTGATAATTTGAGTTTAGAACCAGTATTTGAATAATGAGTAAAACATTGGTCATATGAATTTTCCCACCATTCTATTACTAATCGAATCGTGCAGTGAATTTTGTTCGTGATCCATTTTCTATTTATGAATGTTGCACAAGCGTCACGAGCTTCACGAAAAGCAATACATTTAATTCTGTCAATTATTGTCTGTTGTTCAGTGTCATAGGTACCAGCCATTTTCAAGTAATAGAACTTCGTTAATTTACCGGAAGAATGTATTCTTTTCTATGAAATATGTGGATCAGAAAAATACCTTATATATCACTTCACAAATTATTTAAAATTTCCTCTATTACAACTTTCTAAGAGAAGAAAAAACAAAAAAATATCTTTTAACTAACCGCTACCACGATTAATAAACAACAGAACACAAGAGGCTAATAATATCATCTCAATCGAGGTTACGCTTTATGGTCTTGAGAACAATGCCATTGAAATTTTTTTTTTGTCTTACGACTCGCTAAAAACAGATTATAACCTTTCCATTCTACAGAATTATACAAATTTCGAGAGTTTAACACGCTCAAGCCTTCATAACCCTTACTATTTAGTATCAATAAATCCCGTTTTTCACAAGCTTTCATTTGGTAAAATTTTATTATTTGCTCTATTTGAAATTATAGCGGTGCTCCCTGGAATAATATGATTTCCAACCGTGCACAGTAGCGGGTCTTACTGCACTATTGTATCTCGGTCAATCCATAAACAGTGAAACTGATTATTTCTTGAAACTGCACTTTGTTTTTTTCATCTATTTTGCTTAAATCAACTGACAGTTGCAATGGATCAATGAATCACTACGAACAATAGCTCACATGTTAACTTTGAATTTTTCTCTGCATAAAAGTCAAAAAACGTTCACTGTGTCAACATTCTGAATCGAACAGTACTCATTTATTTTTACCGAAGAGTTCGTGAAATTCTAGAATATTTTAAAACAATCTATGGCTTATTACTACTGTTGCTCAGCGCCTTTAATCCTGTAGGTTCAGGACTGAAGTGAGGAATAATCCTAAGTTTTGTGATTAGTACAGGTGACAAAACTCGAAAACTTCGACATAAAATTTACATTCACAATTTTTGAAAACACATACCTGTTCGACAAAAAATTTTATTGCAACTCTTGAGAGATAATTTCTTTAAGTAATCAGCAACTATCTTTTTCTATGATGCAAGCTGGAAAGACATATTGTCGTATCAAAATACGGAAACATTTCTATTAACATCCTGTTTTAGTGCATCTATTTTGATCCATATTTAGAAATCAATTTAATACAATTTTGAACACGTTCACACTAAATAATAGAAACATGTTCTGAAGCTGTATGGACACGTCCTTCTTCCAACGTTTTGAGGCGTCTCTAAGATGACCGCTTTTTAGTTACAAGAACGAGCTTTTCTTAAACGACTTGTAATGGGCTCCTTCAAAGATCATTCTTGTCAATTTGAATTCGTTCGTTACCAAAACGTTCGTCATCAGAAGGAGCGCGTTGCTTATCGGGAAACACGCGTTCAGAGCCTATAAAATGCGTTCCATTTTGTCAAAAACGCGTTCTTCCACATTTGTTTCTGTCAATATTTTTCCATGGGAAGAATTTAAAAAAAAGAAAACGTTACTAATAAAAAAAAAAAGAAAAAAAGTTAGAAAACTTTAAAAAAAATAGAAAAAAAGAAAAATAAATATGTAGAAAAACAAAACACCTTTGAAAAAATAAAAAAAAATAAAAACGCTAGGAGAGTGCAAATAATCACTAATGAAAATGATTAAAAAAATTTTAAATTATTTTCCGATTAAATATTCTACCTTTCGTAGTAGAATGAATTATGAGCGCAAATCTCACGGAAATTACTTTTTATACAGTCCCTGTGTGACTAAGTTTTAGAGCTAGATTGTGACTAAAGAAATAAGGAGGAATCACTTGTAATTGGTCGGTACCAGTTACAACGATCGTACGATACGATTACTGCGACTCAGATAAACGCAACTCCGTCTCAGGAACCGTAGTTTCTGATAGAGGTTTTCATTACGATCAATGCACTGCAGATGCGCGCAGTTACGAGGAAAGTTTCGTAGTTACGCATAACTACGACGCAGAATTGACTCTGCACGTAACCGCAACACACTTGGTAAAAAAGAGGCAACATGAGTATTCTGCGCCACCGTGAAACCATTTTAAAACTGTACTGTGAAATGGAGCTTAGTCACCGAAAACAGAATATAATTCATCATGAATAGCTTTTAGTTCAATATGAAGAATCGTATACACTTTATTGTAGAAATGAAAATTTTCTTTATTCATTAAAAACAAAGATGTATAGCTTACATTGAACTTTTCTCATGTAACAATAGTACCCGGTGAATAATGATGTATTTAGCAAAGTATAGAGCACTGTTAACGCTACAAGTATATATAGAAAAAATTTTTACTTAAGCTTTCGCATGGAGAAATATAATACTAAAGTCACTACTATTGAACTGCTCTGAGTGTTTTGAACGAAGGAATACAACAAACAGGATATTACGTAGAGAAAAAAAATTAAAAATCAACAAAACTACCACGTCTTGCCTTATGACCGCTAAACTTCCAGTTTATAAACCCGCCATCGTTACCCTAGTGAAACATCTTGTAAGTAAGATCTTGGATCTAGTGTACGAGATCCTGGCCAAGATACAAGGTACAGAAATGTGAGTAGATCTTGAAAATTTGGGTACAAGATAATCTGATTATCGTGAGCTAAGATCTGTGTAATAAGATCTTAGGTACAAATTCATCTGATTCGGTTATCATAAAAAATTGTACATTCTGTACCGAAGATCTTAAACTCTTGTAGTAGTGTCAAACTTGAAAGTTGAATTAAAGTATTCAACTATCAATTCAACCGTTCAAGTATTCAACTATTCCAGTTTTCAATTAGTCAACGTCTGGAATGCTACCAAAATCACCTAACATTGGCAGATATTGTCTGGAATGCTATTAGCATCACCTGACATGTTACAGGATTCTCCAGAATGCTGTCAATTTTACGTAGGATATTACAAGCATCACCTGGGATGCTACAAGTATTGCTTATGATGCTATAAACATCACTTAGCACGCTACAAGAAGCATATGAGAAGCTTGAGCTACCGTGCAGCACTCAGTAGGAATGATGGTATACACAAAGACATGCATGGATCGCGGCTCTTCGGGGGAGGAGGTCGCTTCGCTTCCCCACATCGCGACGCTGAAATAACAGGTGTGTTAGGTGGTGAAAAGCACTTCCTCACTGAATGTCCGCAGAACACGTGACAAGTGAAAATTTGAATAACTGAATAGTTGAACACTTGAATACTACTTTCAAGTCTGATATATATGAATAGTAATATACGGTTAAAAATGAGAATTGGTTTATACAAAGATTTTCTAATATATCAACTTTGGTAAGTATTTTTTTATTTTAACTCATAATGAATTATATTGTTTTGTTCAGCGTTTAATTCTCAATTGAATTATATCGATATATTCGATGAAAGTAATAATATTTTACTAAAATAATAATTCTTTCTAGAGATTGATTAAAATTTTTCGAAGTTAAGAGAATCGGAATGTTTAATTTTGTTTTCTTTTTAAATTCTTCAATTTGATTTTTTTTCAGTAAGAGAAAACATATTTGCTATGTTTTATTCATATTATATTATATATAGATATTTACTCCGAATAATAAATATCTTGTCTGATAGAATTAATTCAAGTAAAATATGTCAAAAAATAGATTAAATGTTCAGATTTGTCGATCTCCCAAACGTTTAATAAAGTTTTGAAAAATATTTTTCTATCGTTGAAAAAATCCAGTCCAAAGAATAATATTCTAATTGTTAGTTATGGTCTCAATTGATATGTTGACCTTAAATATCTATGATAATATTTATTAGCTTTAAGCATAATGTAATATTCGAGTATATCAGTATGCTTCTTTTAACGACGTCTATCGAATCTTTCTCATTGTGAATATAATTATTTTGATAATTTTTTTCGAGGAAAATATTCATTTTTTCCCTTAATATAAACTTTTCATTAAATTTTTTGAACAATTTTGTAAATAATTAAACATCTTTAAATGAATTGAAACATATAAATAAAAGTGACTATAGAAAATGTGTCTGTGTGATATATATCATGTTGATTAATGTTAACTCAACAATAAACTTGATAATAAATTTAAATATATTTAAAATAAATTATATTTGTTGTTTATTGATTATAATTTCCTATAATAGATATTAATCATATTCTTATAATGTCTTTGAATGTCAACAAGAGATTTATAGAGTCTGTCATAGGTTCATTTATATATAATAGGAAGTAAACATTTATTGAATGATATTTTAAATAATAAGTTCAAAACTATTTCCTTTATCAAGATAAAGTGAATAATAGAATGAACATATATTATTATAAGTATATGTCATATTAAGAGACTGATACTCAAAGCGAAAAACAACAGTTTTTATTTATTTATAATCATTTATGATAGAAATAAATCTATTTCTAGTTATTTAATTTAAGACATTAAATAGCCGTTTGTCGATGTTGTAAAGAACGATATGAACTGCAACTTAAATTTATATTTATAGTGAAATAAATGCGGAAACTTCGGATTTAAATCCGAGAGTTATGTGTACTTCAAAAAGTGAATCATACAAATCAATCATCCTAGACTGTCTGAATGTCAAAATCATACTGTGAAATCTACCATTTAAAACGTTGATTTATATTGCGCGTTGCCAAACCAATAGGACATGGGACCGAACTAAGCTCAAGTTTGAACTCTGCACCTTGATTTAGGCTAT